AAACTACAATAGTGAGAAATTTTGAAGAGGTTGCTAGACTGAAGAAGTTGGAGACTTTAGAATGTAACTTTGATGACATACAAGACCTCAATTATTTTGTCAACAAGTTCAAAGATTTCCAAAGGGCTATTGCTTACAGTCTTCTAGTTGGGAGTGCAGAAGACATGCTTGGAATGAGCAAACATGAGCTTGTAATTACTGATTGCGAGATCGGGGAAGAAGGTATAGTGCTTCCAAATAAGCTTGAAGATTTGTGGATAATTAGGCTTAAAAACATGGGAAGCAGCTTAAGCAAAATAGCTCTGTTAGAAAAAGCAAATGAATTGAGGACATGCAATATTTGGTCTTGTGAAGAGATAGAGTGCGTGGTTGAGTTGGATTCATCCTCCTCCTCCTCCTCCTTATTGCGTTGTCCAGTATTTGATAAACTTGAAGAGCTGTCGCTTAATGGATTGCCTAGGTTGTGTGAACTTGTGAGAGTGGAAGGAGAAGCAACACCATCGCACGTCTTTTCCAATCTTAAAAAGCTTCATGTAGTGCTTTGTTCGGGAATAAGGAAGTTGCTTCCACTTGAGCTACTGCAGACCCTCCAAAACTTAGAGGTGATTGAAGTTTTTTCCTGCGTTCAAATGCAGGAGATAATAGCATCATTAGATTCGGATGCATCATCATCGAATAAATTCACTTTCACTTTTCCTAAGTTAAGGGAATTGCGCTTGTTTTTCTTACCCCAATTGAAGAGCATCTGCAGTGCCAAAGGAGTTATGGTTTGTAATTCTATTGAAATAATTGAAATAGGTCTATGTTCGGGGTTAAAGAGGATCCCTGTGCAACTTCCCCAACTTGATAACGGCCAACCATCTCCTCCTCCTCATCTCAGAGAAATCATGATAGATGAAAGTTCAAAAGAATGGTGGGAATCAGTAGAGTGGGATCATCCTAACGCTAAGAACCTCCTTCAACCCTTCTTGAAATATTATAGATAACCGTGGGATTGAGGGTAAGGTGTTGATCGATTTACTACTATTTAATTCTAATTTGAATTTGCTTTGGTAATATATTACAGTAAGTTGCTGAAAATTTGGAAAATAATTTGTGTAGATTGAAGTGAAGAGCTGCAAACTACAAATGTAAAGCCACGTGCCACCTCAATAACACATGCCAATAAAAGCATTTCCACAGTTTCTTCATTCCTTCCCCCCCGAAAACAATTGGGTATTCTAGAAGAGAAAGAAATGGATGTGTCTGAGATGAAAACCCTAAGTGGGTATATTCTAGAAGACAAAGATATCCCCAACCTCTGCTCCCTCACAAGCTCCAACCAGTAAGTGTTTAGATTTCACTATCTCTATTTTGACTTATTGTAACTCTATTTAGTTTTTGTGTTTGGATTCATATTCCACTTTTTTTCATTTAACAAGATAAAATTATGAGTGATAAAATTATTTAATATCTGTGGTTGGAAAAACATTAATAGTTTTTTTTTATTTGATTTATTTGATATATTTTTTATTTAACTTTATCTGGACAGTCTTTTTTATTTATAATTTTTCTATCATTTGCAAAACTGTGTTATTTTAGTGGCTGAAAGAAACAATTTTTGTAGTTCCAGAGAAATCATCAACTTTCCCAATAAATCACAAGCAATCGACAACATGTTCCGGTAAAAGCCCTTACTCAATAACGAAAAGATTGGCTGGAAAATTACGTGCTAAACTGAAGAATCAAACCTCAAAGAAAGTGTGAAACATCCAAACACTAGGTATTTTGATTTGATTATTCCATTCCACTCTCTTCATTTTCTTATGCTTCTTAATTTCTATGTATTCATAAGGGTTTTATTGAATTTTTTCTGTTTTATATTTTGTTCTTTTTATAATTTGGTTTTGGGGTAAGCTTGACTGAAAATGAGCCCCCTTTAATTGCCAGGTATGCTAGCTCCGGTAAGGCCTCAAGGAGAGGAAGTTTTTAGGTTTTTGGGTATGCTTTTTTTTTTGTTTGTAATCTAAAATTTTTGTACAAGAGTTTCTGATAAAAATTGGTATCATTTTCAGGCTTCCGACAAAACTTTTTGGTGTCATGATCATGAATTGTGCAAAGAGGTGAATTTTTCCTTTCCAAGAATGCAGTTAAAGTTCACATTCACAAGTCACAAGCATGGAGAAACATACTCATGATTGCAATCTATTTAGGTTACATGAAGAGTTTGTTTGAAAAACATGGCAGTGGGTTGGGAAAATTATATGCTGTTGTCAGATATTTTGATTTTATTTTTTTGGTAACAGTACATATCTTGGTTAATGATGGTTCTTGTTTACTTCAGGTTATTAAGCTTAAAGTTTTGTACAAGGGGACGTTTCTGATAAAAATTAGCATAATTTTCTGGCTTCCTACAAGTGGCTGAGTTGCTTCTTTTTGGTGTCATGAAATGTTGCAAAGAGGTGAACACCTTTCCTCTCTAAGAATGTAGTGAAAGTTCACATTCACAAGTCACATGCGTGGAGACACATATTAATGATTTATTATTTGTTTAGGTCACTCACGGAGCTTGTTTGGAAAACATGGCAGTGGGTTGGAAATAGTCTATACCTTGTCTTCCCGGTTGATGAGCAGTCTTTCAAGTTACCATATAAGGCTTCTTAGAGGACTTAAACTCAGGTTAGATTTTCCTTAAAAATGGCATATGGTCTCAATCTCATCATTAACAATTTTCATCTGTTCAGTTAGTAGTTATTTCTTTTACTTCATATGGTGGATTAGCCCCAATCTAAACTTCTAAACCCCATCCCCAAATCCATACCCAAATCCAAATGTGTTTCAGGAGTACAATGCGTCAATTGAGTCCAACTAGGCTCCCTTCATGGTGGAGTCTGATTCATACCTTGAAACATATCATACTGTCTTGAGATGGCTAGTGAACCTTGCTGCTATAACCGAACATGGCAGGAGCTAGGAAGGAGTTGATGTGTTAGTGTTTGAGAGCTATATCTAATGGATGCACAAGTGTAACAAGCCTCAGATCAATGCTATGTAAGTTTCCAGTTTTCAATCTAATGCTTTCTATTCCATCCAATTTCTTCTACTTTTGGTGAACCTTGCTGCCATAGCCAAACACAGCAGGATCTAGGAAGGAGTTGATGTGTTGGTGCTTGGAGCTATGTGTGGTGGATGTACAAGCATATAGAACAAGCTTCATATCAATGTTATGTAAGTTTCTGGTTTTTTTATCTAAGTCCTTCTATTCCATCCAAATTCTTTGGTTTTTGTGCTCCTAGAGCAAGTTTTTTATTTTGAAATCCAACAGGTTAATTTAAGTTCTAACTTTCTTCCTGGGTTTTAGGTTTTTTTTCTTTTCTTTTTTTTCAAATATGGAAATCCAAGGATTGTTCAAGAATATAATGTGACAACTACTTGTAGAATTAGAAACTTGGGCAAATTGGTTAGAATCCAATGTCAGTCCTCTATGTTTCCAGCACACATCTGTGGTATGTTTCACTTGCTATTTTTTATTAAGAAACACCCCAAATCCCCAAATTATGAAGATGATGGTATTATAGGGAGTTATCAAGCTGTTATAAACCCTTTTGATGAAGTGGAAGAAGTTAATCCTTTCTATGTTAATCCTTTATTCTTTTCAAATTTATATGATTTTGATTACTGATTGATGATTGTGAACTTGTAGAACCGTTCACGGCTTTCACCTCTTCCTCCAGAACCAGTTGCTCTCAACTATGGTTGTGATGCAAATCATGACATCTCTCTTGATGCAGTTACTAGACCCAATTTAAGGTTAGTGTATTTATTTAATTTTGTCTCCCTGCATGCCACTTCTTGCTTGTTTTATGAAAGTGAGCAATGATTATGGTTTTTTGATTTACACTGTTCAAATTATCTTAGGAATTGAAGAGGAAAGGGAGGGAGATTGGCCATGGTAGTTGAACGTAACCAGCAACAGGAGGTATATCATGGAGATTGAACTTGTGAAACATGCAGACTTTTACAAGTTTCACTCATCTGTTTCTTTTAGGATATACAACACAGGAAGTGAAGCAGGAAAGAAGAGGATTTAGCAAGAGGTAACTTGCAGTTTATGCTATAGTTTGTTGATTACTCATAATATCCACTTAGTAGCCTGTTTCTATTTCCTTTTATGGTCAATTAGCCTTTCATTCATGCCATGATAATCTAGAACTTGCCTTGTGATTTTTTGTCCTGCAGATTGGCCACCATTTGCCCCAGTTGTTCATTATGATGTTGCAAATGATAATGCTGATTTATGACAAAAGTTGATGTTTATTGCCCTTCCATCATTCTTAGGTATGCAAGCTTTTTGCATTTTTACTTTTCGTTGTGGTTATTTTAGCCTTGCATTTTGGTAGATTATATTTATTGACTGAATTCATGCAATTGTATACATGATGTTATTTATAGTTATCGATCAATGCCTCTATTGATATATGTTATGATTGGTAAATGTATTTTTTTTCCTTATGCAAGATTGGTTCTGTGCTTTTTCTGGAATGACATAACTGCTACTGCAGCATGCATCAAAGGGGAAAGATGGAAGCATCATACTGGGGAATTGGATCTCGTCTTCCCATCTTGATGATAGTTCGCAACATCTTACAAGAAGTAAAGATCAACCATTACTGTTTTGAACATATACACAATTGTCAGAATATCAAAAACATGTTCATATATCTATTTATGCCTTATGGTGAACAGAAGGGAAAAACTCTTGACAGGAAACAGAGATTTGACCCTAAAGATTTTGCTAATTGTGTTTTCATTGGTTCTTACTTGGACTATCTAATACATGGAATGAGATTATGCATGCATATTTGTTGAGCAGTTGTAAAAATCTTTGTGATCTATCTAAACCTTCTTTTTGGGTATCTAATGACACACTTTCTACCTGCGTACTCTGATTTTTTTTAAGCACTGCTTTTCGTGTTTTCTTTAGGTCATTATCCTGCTTTTACAAAAAGTTAAAAACTCAGAAAGTATAATCTATTATTTCAAATAACTAGAGTAATAAAAATTAAAATTTTTTTCACAAAATTATTGGGGGAAAGAATTTGATTATTATTATTATAAGAAGTGTTA